TTTCACTTTTTCACAGATAGGAAAAAAACACTATACGGAGTGGCGCAAAAGTCACTTTGCCGAAAAAAAATTGAATATCTTCACTATGGCTCGAGCAAAAGAGTTGATTCTTTTATCAATGATAGAGACATGTTCAAGCTTTATATTCATAAAGACATGCCTAGAGAGATCCTTTGTTAAGTCTATTGTTTTTTTTCTTATCTGTGAAAAAGTAAAATATTTTTTGCTGAGGTCGTTGGTGGTACTTAACAAAGGCTCTTTCTAACCTTGTCTGTATGGATTTAAAGTATGAACATGCTTCTATTATTGTTAGAAAAATCAGACTGTTTGCTCGAGCCATAGCAAAGAGATATGTAATTTTTTCTAACTCTAGTGACTTTCTGGACACCCTATACGTTTATATCTGGGTGTACCGATATACGTATCTCTATCATGTCAATCTAACGTCAAGTTAATCGAGTTTCAATGAACTTTACTTATCTATTTACAGTTGGACACAGCAATTATTATTTAGTACAAAGAAAAAAACAGTATTAATATGGATGCATGAACAACACATGTAATTACTTAAAAATAAAATTATTGTGACGATTTAGTACTTATTGTTTCATTTCAAAAAAGTTCATAGGCCATCATTAAATTAAAAATCGATCAAATAGTTTCAACTGAATAACTCTCATGTATATGTCACGGCGAATGAAATATTGATTTATTCGTTTTGCCTCAAATATGTCGATATTGTTTTTTGTTTTCTTGTAAATAATCTATTTATTTATCTAAATTTTCATTTTACTGAATAAAACATCTACTGTTTTATCTTTGTGTTCCATAATAAATATATTTACAGCTTCAATTTGCAAGGTTTAAAGGAGCACTCAAATCTAAGCCTTAAAAAGCCAACAAATTTTGAAAATACTTTACATTTAAAAAAATATATATTTTTACTTGTACAAAACGTTGTAAGGTCTAATTAGTTCTAAACATTAATCAATAAAACGTGCAGTAGTGTTAAAAATAGAATCATAGATAGTTTTAATAGAAGTGCAACAAATATTAAACGAAATCAAGCTATTTTGATGAATATTGTGAAGATTTTGTTTAATCATCTATTGCTAATAATATAACCAATTAAACAATACAAGCAATGAGCTTCAGATATTAATAAAATTTAAAAAAATGCAAATAAATTAATAGGATCTTGACAAAATTAATTTTCATATTTTTTCATCATACTTTCTTTCAATAGAATGCTCTTATTATTATATATTCGATTAAATTTACGTTTATTATTATGATGATAGATTTCAATATTTTCAAAATATGATCTAAAAAGAAAAAAATAGATTTTTAGATGAATTTGCACGAAAAAAGAGCAACGAAAATTGTTGCAACTATCATTCAACAGATCTAGACGAAAAGAAAATATTTAAATTAACTGATATAAATCAAATAGGACTATGAATTAATCAGTTTTTCAATATACAGTTCGAATGAAAGAATATATAAAAGTAAGAAGTCATGATAAAAATCATCACACACACAATATTTAATTTTTATTAAAGAAAAAAGAAACTGAACAACTTTAACTCTACTAGCAGCAATTTGAACCCTTTTGTACGCTATATACCAACAATTTTTTGATCATTAAAAACCTCGCCATTTTACAAATTAATATTGATATATGGTGTGTAGAGCCCTGCAGGGTGCCCATAACCTGTCCTGCCCTGCCCTGCCCTGCCAGGACAGGACAGGGCAGGTTGCAAAAGTAGCAGGGTCAGGTTACGAAATTTTTACAGGGCAGGTTACAAGGCAGCACTGTCATAACCTGTTAACCTGCTATTAATTTATCGAATCAAACATTATAGACATCTTTTGAAAAATTTTATACGAAGAAGAATATCGAAGCATAAAACAACATAAAGTAGGAGAATTGATTACGAAGTCGATGAAATGTTATGAATTTTTTTGTAATATCAAATATAGCAGGGCAGGGCAGGGCAGGTTACAGGTTATGAAAAAAAGTCTCAGGGCAGGACAGGGCAGGGTACGCGAAAAAATTCACAGGGCAGGACAGGATTAGGTTGCAGAATTTTTACAGGGCAGGTTACAGGTTACGAAAATACTGCACCCTGCAGCCCTCTAATGGTGTGTTAGCATGATATAAAAGTTATTTAAATGCATTTATTTATAAAGTAATAAAAATTCTACTGAATTCATTCATGTAGTATGTTTGATAGGCTTATACAATACTGCTTGCAAAATAAAGTGACCTGAATTTAGGATATCAGTGTTGAAAGACAATAATAATCATTAAATGAAAGATATACTATTAAATATTTTGAAATCGTTCTTTTATTTATAAATGAATATCATAACTAATAGTATCATATTACTTGTAAAAGAAAGAATTAGGTTGATTTATTATTTTTAATAAACCATCGATTTTATGTTCGATATTTAAAATGTGATTGATGTCCGTATCTTTTCATTTATCATCATTCATCTCTCCTAAGTCTTCTATTTCATGATTATTTAAATTGAATAAGAGATATCATTGAATATGACATATTTATTCTAATTAAATAAAAGAGACATATGACATTGAGAAAAAAAGATTTCATAAAACATGCTTTGTAAACAGTTTAATTGTTCTTTTTTTGTATATTATAGTTATCTTTATGAACATTTATTTGTATTCCTTTACATATCTTCTTCATTTGGTATGGCTTATTACTCAAGAACGTGTTTTTATTGGTGAATCAAGACCAATTCAATATTCAAAACAAAATTAATAATTTAAAACTTCATTCATCAATACTAGTATCACTAGTTAGACTATTATCAAAAGGAGGTTTATAATCGAAACCAATAAGTATATTCACTAGAATAACAAATGTTATCATCTCTTCTAATAATATATTCACAATGGCATAGTCCTACACTTTTAAATACCAATTTCTAAATCAATATATGAAGGCAACGACTATGTAGAACATTATTGTTGGAAAGCATTATTATCTTTGTACATAAGTTGTTTTTGTTTTTTTGTTAATAATAACATTTGTTGAACATCATTGCTGTATTATTGCAGTTGAATGTATCTAATAAGGCATATTAATGGTAAACTTTGAATCGATAAAAATATCAGTTGAAAAGCCATATTCAGATTTAATCCTATAGATAATGTTTAATTTTGAGTATTACTATGATAAGATTGCGTACTAGAGTCGATTTAATGGATGAGAGTCACTCTGGTGATAGAACAATAGGCACTTTTGTAAATAATTGATTCATTACTATTACTTGGAAATAAATATTAGGAGGAGTTCAATGATCCGTAAATTACCGTTAATTATTCCGTTAATTTTCAAGATAATTAAATGATTTTAGTATTATTCGATTCAACAGATATGTTTCTGCTCAATAATATAAAAAAATTATGAGTTGCTTTGAAAATTGTTTGAAATAAAAGAGAAATCTTCACATCGTTGAAGAAGCTGTTTGAATTAGAAACATTGCTTGTACCAATTCATTTTAAGTCTCATACCATCACTAACAACTACCTGTATTTATTTTATTAATCTAGAAAAAAATATACCATAAATGAAAAGGAACTCATAATAACTATTAGTAACAAATTTAGGATTGAAGAACTAGTTTGTTCTCTATAAATCAGACAATAGACTGTAGTAGACATCCACACGATGATTTTGTACTAATGAATTTAGAATTTCAACAATCTCATCATTTGAAAACAAAAGGCTTAACAAATGCATAGCAAAATCTTATGATTCTTGATTAAATAATTTTTCTATGTACATAACAGCTTGTTTATGGAATTAATATTCGCCGTGTTGATGAGAGAAGTGACGAGAATGTTGCTGCATACTTGTAACAACGTTCTTCAAAAGTTACGTAGTCGAAAGAAACGATTGGACGAGCAAGTGTTCGATCAACCAATATATATTTATGAACATGGCATGTTGTGCCCATTTTGAAGAAAAATTTAGATTTATTTAACATCAGTTTGCCCTTGGACTAACAAAAATTTGACTGTCTAAAGCAATGAGTCCGAAATTATTTATGCTCATTATAGATAATATACGATTTTATGTTAACATCTGATATGGGTTAGAATTAAATTTTGTGTTTTCTTATGCAACACAAAGAAATTCGATCGCATAGAATGTAAAACGGAGAAAAACAAACTGATTAAGGATTACGTATATAGTGACAGCAAATAAATGCTTATTTTTTCCAGTAAGATCGTATTTCTTCTGTCTTATACAGAGAAACACGGTGGTTTAGAACAAAACAATCGCTCAGGTAAAATAATTAGACAAAACATAAGAGAATTATATTTTTTTCATTATCGTAACAATCTTAGTAGATGCTTATAATAAGATTTTATATAAGCTTTTTTAGAGTCGACAATTGTTCGTATCTTTTCGTCTGTTCTAGATAGATTGTGAAAAAAAATCAGTGAATAAATCATAAAAGACTTTGCTGTTCGGTCTTTGGTTCTGAATGTACGAAAAGATAGATTATAAAAAACCGATATCATTCATTCATACTGAATCATGTAAAACCCTGAGCTTCTTCTTTTTCTACGATTGTTCACAATCATATCTACTCGACTTCAAGATCAAAGTCGCTAATGGTAGCAGATGATATTAGAAGAGAAGATCAATGTACGGGGCTGTTTTTGATAAAAACAATATATTTTCAGATGTTTATGTCGTAAATTCATATAAATGCATGCACAACACTACGAGTATATATAAACCTTTGAATGTAAGTTAAAATATTTTCTTTGCAGATGTTACTATTTGTATTATTTTTTCCTTTAATAAACATTGATTCATTTGAGAAAAAATAAAATTTGTTAAGCAATAGCTATAATCATTGTTTCATACAATAAAAATGTAGCATACAAAGTCATATATCTGCATTCATATGAAGAAAAATAAAGTTTATTTGCTGTTTCTAGATATAAAATTATGTCAATGATCAGTTTTATGTTTTGTGCTTTCTTTATTATATCAACAATATCAGCAATACCTGCACCAGGTATTGTTTTGTCAGCTGTTATTCGGAACACACAGAATACACCTGTTCAATGCACTATTCGTTGGGCGATAGACAATGATCAAACATCGAATCACCATATTATTACAGTTGAAAGCAATAAATATAAAGTTGTCTTTGAAAAAAACATTAATAGTAGTGAATTCATAGCAGGTGCATTTATCCAAGAAATTCATTGTGGTGACTTAGTGCTTAATGCTCCATTTACAAGAGTCCTTGCAGTAGAAAGACTTTGGGAATTTCGTATTGAATCAGATCGAATAGTTTCGGTTGGACGGAGTTCATATTTATCTTAAAATAGTTCAAAGATCAACTAATTCATTTTATATTGAAAACCATGATCTTTTGTTTTCCTCAGGAATAATCAAACAATTTCTTTGAGATTTTTGTGTTTTCTAAATAAATATCTAATGTTTTATTCATACGGCACAGGATCAAACTTTTTTTACAACATGAATCTGTTGAAATTCATGAAAACCATAACAAATATAAATATTTCGAGAAAGACTGGTAATCATAGAGAAAATGAGAGGAACAATTTTGATGATAACTACAAACATGCGAGGTCGTAATAATGTTGCTGTCTAACAATGTATCACAGGTTTTTCTTCTCTCTAAGATTTTTCCCTGTTTGGATACAGGAATCTTAAAACTCGAATAAAACTGCCTGATGAGGATGTCTGGAAAATTACGACGTCCAAAGTAAGTTTTTCAGCATCCTTTCGAAACTGTTGAAAATGATTGTACTCTATAGAACAAATAATTCTAAGTGAATTAAGACGTCTTAGCTCTCTTCATGACATTCATTCATCGAGCTACATTGAATGTCTAGAAGGTACCGAAGCGTGCAAAACGGCGAAATCATGGAAATGTATTAAAAAAATAAAACGAAAATGCTTTTTGGGTCTTCTGCAAATCGAATACAGTTCGATGAAGGAATGTCATGGACAGAACCGAGATATCTAATTTTGCTCAGTATCATTTGCTGTCTCCTATAAAACTATCTCCAAAAATTTCAAATGCTTGCCAGAATACTAGTTTCAGAGGTCCTAGTTTTCCGGAATCTCTCATTCAAGCAATTTTATTGGAGTTTTTAGATTTACGCATTCTGATAGAGAATGCTTTGAGCTACTCAAATTTTTTTGTCAGATTTGTCCTAGCTATTACCATACGAAAGAAAACTCAAAAACACAACTGCTCTAAACTTTTGTCCACGACAATGCACGCATAAAAATAAATGCTTATTTATTTTTCTCGTCATACTGTAAGACAACATTATCGGATATTTGTCCATAATAATACACTGCTTAATTTATATTCATTTTTAGAGTCATCTAATCATCTTACTGATTAGTCTATTATACATAGTTTTCATTTAAGAATAATTACAATATTTCTTGAGTAGTATCTGTAGTCGTTGTTAATACATTAAAATGCAACAAACGAAAACGTCTATCGTCAACTATTACAATGAAAGAAATTGTATTTTTTTTCTCGGCAGAAAATTATATCCACCGTTGTTTTTATTTAATTAATTTCGATTTGATGTGCACTGACTGTTATTTATCCTGCTGTTAGTAGTTAAAGACATTTCAAAATGTTTCAAAGTCACCGACAAACTCAGAATTTTGTATTAAATCAAATATTGCAGTTTCAATTGAAAGAAATTTATAAAATGATCTAAGTTAGTTTTTTTCTCAAATCATATAACCAGTTTTTCTTCATCTACTTATAGTATTTGTTTTTTTTCTATATTAAAGAACCGAATTGTTTGTATTTTCATCATGTTTCAAATTCATACTGGTAATTATAATACATGAATAACTCAGATTGAATCATCAAGTACCTTTAAATCTAAAGCAAACTGAGAAATATAAATGGCGGATTTAGTATGAATAATGCGAAACTTTTCATACTGATGAGATATGCTATTTCAAAACAAAACAGATAAGGGTAAAAGAATCGACTACTTGCACATGCTATTTTACTCGAATTATTGGAAATTGTTCTGTTAATAATAGAAGTTCAGTGAATCAATATTATTTGTAAGTCATCAATAAATTTTCAATATATTATTAAATAAATATTCGACGGCGACACGGTGTAACAAAACTTTTAAAGGGAGTTTTTTCGCGTATGTTCTATTTTATTGTAATACTCGTAAGTGCTTGTAGGAAACATAATGATACATCAAAAGATAAGAACGAAAACACAGAACAAGACAAGAAAATAGTGAAGAAACATTGTGAAAGAAACCGGTTCCACAAAAACGACAGAGCTAGGAAGAAAGATCACAAGGCCATACACCTAGTCTACACTAAACGGTTAGACTATTTTCGAAAGAATAGGACTATGGGGGTAAGGTATGACTGTGCGGAAGTTAATTAATTCTAAACATTGAAGTCTTCTCCTTCATTAGCAGTTACTTATGTAAAATCTATTTTCTCATTTGTCATACGTGGATAAATGTATATCATAACGTATAGAATGATTTAAAACAAACTTGATTTACAAATTGAGACGATTTTCAATTCCTATTGAACTATGTCATAGACATGTTTGTCACCAAATCTTTTTTAGTCCCGCTCTCGATCTTGGTCGTAACTTATAGAAACCTTTTTCAACATTAATATATATTAAATCTAAAATCTCAAACACGTGTGTTTCGGTTAATTTGACCAACGAATATAAGTTTTTTTTATCATCTATCTTGACAATTGCTTCGATTGACGTGATCTATAAGATAATTCACTAAAAATCATAGGCGATATTCTACTATAATTTTCAGATCCAGGTCGAACGACTTTGTTCTCATAGTCCAAAATTCGATTTGGACTCGTTACATTTTTATTTTTTGACCCTGAGTCGAGGATAAAACTGACCCCAAACAACTCCCCTTTGTACCCTTTTAAAACTAAAGAAGAATTCTCAAAAGATAAGATTTTTTTACTTTTTTTTATAACTAAACATATTATTCTTGCTTTGATGAAGAAAAACTCAGGTATGGAACATGGTTTGACTAATCGAGTTTAGGTGTCAATATATATTCTTTATCTTAGATAGAAAGGCAACGTTCTTATCTCTTTGTATATTTAAGCCAATGCAAGCTACATTTTCTTTCTATTACTCGGCTGTCTTACTTCAGTTACAAATTAGTTTTTTATTCTTCATTTCATCTACACTTTATCTGTTGTGAAAAATAATTATGGCATCACAAATGTGTGGACTCAAGGCTCCTAGCCATGTTTATGCAGGAACATTAAAAAATTCAAGTGATAATGATGTTACTGTTGAAGTCGAATATGCTGGTTCGGATGCTAGTCATAGTGAAACAGTTAATGTAACTGTACCTAAAGGAGGTTCACAAACAATTGAAGAAAAATCTGTTCAAGTTGGTGACAATGAACAACGTAAAGTTATTCAAAAATTAACTGTTAAATCACAAGATGGTACAACAAAAGAATTATCAGCTCCATTCGCAGGTGTTACATCACCAAAACAACATTGGCATTTTGAAGTTGATCAAGATGGTTCACTCAAATCAGTAGCATAATCAAATTCAAGCTAGGATATTTAATATTAAAACAAGTATTCCATCATTTAGAAAAAAAGAAATTGTTCTGATTTGTTTGACATTGAAAAATAAATAAATAAATACATAACGAAAACAATAAATTTTTATTTATGATTCATTCTAGCATATACAGAACAAATGTTTTCATCAAAACGATGATGATTTACAACATAAAGAATATTTTCAACTATTTTCATTCCACCTTGAACATCAGGTTCAATAGAATTTGCATAATCATTTGGATCATTGAATATTGTTTTTAAATCGATTACTGGAATGCCATGCTAAAAACAAACAATGAGTTCATAATAGAAATGAGGTTTTTTTTCTATACTTTAGCTGATTCTGTAATAATGATATCATTCAAGGCTGATAAACCTGTTTCACACATTGTTTGTTGCTGTGAATTATCAAAACGTGGATTATAAATAGTACATGTTGTTACAGGAAGTTTTAATTTAGTAACTTTTTGTAACATATCGACATAATCCTACGAAAAAATAATAATTATTGGAATGAAATAATAGATATGTTTATATTTTCTGTTACTTTTTCGAATTTCTTTTTTATTTTACTAAGTACTAACAATGCTTCACCAACATTTCTAACTGACTCATTTAAATGATGCATATAAGAAAGTGCATTATTTCCACCTAAAAATAAATAAATCAATTTATTTTTAATATTAAATTAAAGAAAATGAATTTTACCAGTTGAAATAAATAAATGAGTAGCATCACAAGGAACATGTTTAATTTGATCAGCAATATGTGAAAGAACATTTCCATCGACAGCAAGTAATGTTGCATTCCAACCAAAATCTTTAACTTTTGTTTTAAGTTGATCGATTACAGCCGGTTGGTCTCGACCAACATATGAACGATTATCAAAAATACTATCACCAAGTAAAATTAAGTTACGTATTGGAGACACCATTTGTTATGTTTAATACGTAAGGGTCAAATCAACTAGCTACTTATAGTTGAATAACTCACTTGATTGTGATTCAAAATTTGCCCTCAAACATCTTTTTTCTTCCTTCTTTCCCTTTTTATCGTTCTCATACAAAGATGAGTCATTGAAATTTCTCGTTCCTTCTATCAAATGAGACATATCAGGACTCTGAATGGATTGGAATAGACTTATCAAAGTCGAATTGTGAGTAAGCAAACGTCGACTCAGCCCACCAATGGATTTTCTTCAAAACAACCCAGCCCATAGATCGTTCAACTAGCAAAAATTTTTCCTAACGCTAAATTAGCTTGTTATTCTGGTCAAAGTTATTCGTCATTATTAACATTCTTTTATTACATAAAGTTAATCAAACTTTTCTTGTAAAAAAGGAGAACAAGAAAAAAGGATATTTTGTTGAATACCAAAAAGAGTTTTTCGACATGAATAGATAAATAAATTGGTATGAATAATTTGTTGACACAAAGCTTACATATCGACGCAAGAGTGGCCAGTTTCGCGTGAATCAACCAAACTATTCTCATACTTATGTCAATCGAATTTGTCGGCATGTTCACATTCTTTTTTTTCCGACAGCAAATTATTATTATTCGAACTTTATCTTTTTTTTTATTGTCTGTTATAAATTTATTCGCTCTTCATTATATTAATATCTGAATAAATGAAGGGATCAAAATGAGGTTTTTCGAAGCAAGAAATTTTGTGACCTATTCAAAACTCTGTTTGTGAACTATCATCAATCTATGAGCC